ACAGATGGTGTTCTGTAAACCGATGTGTGTGTTCTGTAAACAGACGTGTGTTCTGTAAACAGATGGCGTTCTGTAAACAGATGTGTGTGTTCTGTAAACAGACGTGTGTTCTGTAAACAGATGTCTGTGTTCTGTAAACAGATGTGTGTGTTCTGTAAACAGACGTGTGTTCTGTAAACAGACATGTGTGTTCTGTAAACAGATGTGTGTGTTCTGTAAACAGATGTGCGGGTTCTGTAAACAGATGTGCGTGTTCTGTAAACAGATGTGCGTGTTCTGTAAACAGATGTGCGTGTTCTGTAAACAGACGTGTGTGTTCTGTAAACAGATGTGTGTGTTCTGTAAACAGACGTGTGTTCTGTAAACAGACGTGTGTTCTGTAAACAGATGTGTGTTCTGTAAACAGACGTGTGTGTTCTGTAAACAGATGTGTGTTCTGTAAACAGACGTGTGTTCTGTAAACAGATGTGTGTGTTCTGTAAACAGACGTGTGTGTTCTGTAAACAGATGTGTGTGTTCTGTAAACAGACGTGTGTTCTGTAAACAGACGTGTGTTCTGTAAACAGATGTGTGTTCTGTAAACAGACGTGTGTGTTCTGTAAACAGATGTGTGTGTTCTGTAAACAGACATGTGTGTTCTGTAAACAGATGGTGTTCTGTAAACAGATGGTGTTCTGTAAACAGACGTGTATGTTCTGTAAACAGACGTGTGTTCTGTAAACAGATGTGTGTGTTCTGTAAACAGACGTGTGTTCTGTAAACAGACGTGTGTGTTCTGTAAACAGATGTGCGTGTTCTGTAAACAGATGTGCGTGTTCTGTAAACAGATGGTGTTCTGTAAACAGACGTGTGTGTTCTGTAAACAGACGTGTGTGTTCTGTAAACAGACGTGTGTTCTGTAAACAGACGTGTGTTCTGTAAACAGACGTGCGTGTTCTGTAAACAGACGTGCGTGTTCTGTAAACAGACGTGTGTGTTCTGTAAACAGACGTGTGTTCTGTAAACAGACGTGTGTTCTGTAAACAGACGTGTGTTCTGTAAACAGACGTGCGTGTTCTGTAAACAGATGTGCGTGTTCTGTAAACAGACGTGCGTGTTCTGTAAACAGATGTGTATGTTCTGTAAACAGATGTGTGTGTTCTGTAAACAGACGTGTGTTCTGTAAACAGACATGTGTGTTCTGTAAACAGATGTGTGTGTTCTGTAAACAGATGTGCGGGTTCTGTAAACAGATGTGCGTGTTCTGTAAACAGATGTGCGTGTTCTGTAAACAGATGTGCGGGTTCTGTAAACAGATGTGCGTGTTCTGTAAACAGACATGTGTGTTCTGTAAACAGATGTGTGTGTTCTGTAAACAGATGTGCGGGTTCTGTAAACAGATGTGCGTGTTCTGTAAACAGATGTGCGTGTTCTGTAAACAGATGTGCGTGTTCTGTAAACAGATGTGTGTGTTCTGTAAACAGACATGTGTGTTCTGTAAACAGACGTGTGTTCTGTAAACAGACGTGTGTTCTGTAAACAGACGTGTGTGTTCTGTAAACAGACGTGTGTGTTCTGTAAACAGACATGTGTGTTCTGTAAACAGATGGTGTTCTGTAAACAGACGTGTATGTTCTGTAAACAGACGTGTGTTCTGTAAACAGACATGTGTGTTCTGTAAACAGATGTGTGTGTTCTGTAAACAGACGTGTGTTCTGTAAACAGACGTGTGTGTTCTGTAAACAGATGTGCGTGTTCTGTAAACAGATGTGTGTGTTCTGTAAACAGATGGTGTTCTGTAAACAGACGTGTGTGTTCTGTAAACAGATGTGTGTGTTCTGTAAACAGATGGTGTTCTGTAAACAGATGGTGTTCTGTAAACAGACGTGTGTGTTCTGTAAACAGATGTGTGTGTTCTGTAAACAGACGTGTGTTCTGTAAACAGATGGTGTTCTGTAAACAGACGTGTGTGTTCTGTAAACAGACGTGCGGGTTCTGTAAACAGATGTGCGTGTTCTGTAAACAGATGTGCGTGTTCTGTAAACAGATGTGCGTGTTCTGTAAACAGATGTGTGTTCTGTAAACAGACATGTGTTCTGTAAACAGATGGTGTTCTGTAAACAGACGTGTGTGTTCTGTAAACAGATGTGTGTGTTCTGTAAACAGACGTGTGTTCTGTAAACAGACATGTGTGTTCTGTAAACAGACGTGTGTGTTCTGTAAACAGATGTGCGGGTTCTGTAAACAGATGTGCGTGTTCTGTAAACAGATGTGCGTGTTCTGTAAACAGATGTGCGTGTTCTGTAAACAGATGTGTGTGTTCTGTAAACAGACATGTGTGTTCTGTAAACAGACGTGTGTTCTGTAAACAGACGTGTGTGTTCTGTAAACAGACGTGTGTGTTCTGTAAACAGACATGTGTGTTCTGTAAACAGACGTGTGTGTTCTGTAAACAGACGTCTGTGTTCTGTAAACAGACGTGTGTGTTCTGTAAACAGACATGTGTGTTCTGTAAACAGATGGTGTTCTGTAAACAGACGTGTATGTTCTGTAAACAGACGTGTGTTCTGTAAACAGATGTGTGTGTTCTGTAAACAGACGTGTGTGTTCTGTAAACAGACGTGTGTTCTGTAAACAGATGTGTGTGTTCTGTAAACAGATGGTGTTCTGTAAACAGACGTGTGTGTTCTGTAAACAGATGTGTGTGTTCTGTAAACAGATGGTGTTCTGTAAACAGATGTGTGTGTTCTGTAAACAGATGTGCGGGTTCTGTAAACAGATGTGCGTGTTCTGTAAACAGATGTGCGTGTTCTGTAAACAGATGTGTGTGTTCTGTAAACAGATGTGTGTGTTCTGTAAACAGACATGTGTGTTCTGTAAACAGACGTGTGTGTTCTGTAAACAGACGTGTGTTCTGTAAACAGACGTGTGTTCTGTAAACAGATGTGTGTGTTCTGTAAACAGACGTGTGTGTTCTGTAAACAGACATGTGTGTTCTGTAAACAGATGGTGTTCTGTAAACAGACGTGTATGTTCTGTAAACAGACGTGTGTGTTCTGTAAACAGATGTGTGTGTTCTGTAAACAGACGTGTGTTCTGTAAACAGACGTGTGTGTTCTGTAAACAGATGTGCGTGTTCTGTAAACAGATGTGTGTGTTCTGTAAACAGATGGTGTTCTGTAAACAGACGTGTGTGTTCTGTAAACAGATGTGTGTGTTCTGTAAACAGATGGTGTTCTGTAAACAGATGTGTGTGTTCTGTAAACAGATGGTGTTCTGTAAACAGATGGTGTTCTGTAAACAGACGTGTGTTCTGTAAACAGATGTGTGTGTTCTGTAAACAGACGTGTGTTCTGTAAACAGATGGTGTTCTGTAAACAGACGTGTGTGTTCTGTAAACAGACGTGCGGGTTCTGTAAACAGATGTGCGTGTTCTGTAAACAGATGTGCGTGTTCTGTAAACAGATGTGCGTGTTCTGTAAACAGATGTGTGTTCTATAAACAGACATGTGTTCTGTAAACAGATGGTGTTCTGTAAACAGACGTGTGTGTTCTGTAAACAGATGTGTGTGTTCTGTAAACAGACGTGTGTTCTGTAAACAGACATGTGTGTTCTGTAAACAGATGTGTGTGTTCTGTAAACAGATGTGCGGGTTCTGTAAACAGATGTGCGTGTTCTGTAAACAGATGTGCGTGTTCTGTAAACAGATGTGCGTGTTCTGTAAACAGACATGTGTGTTCTGTAAACAGACGTGTGTTCTGTAAACAGACATGTGTGTTCTGTAAACAGACGTGTGTGTTCTGTAAACAGACGTCTGTGTTCTGTAAACAGACGTGTGTGTTCTGTAAACAGACATGTGTGTTCTGTAAACAGATGGTGTTCTGTAAACAGACGTGTGTTCTGTAAACAGATGTGCGTGTTCTGTAAACAGATGTGTGTGTTCTGTAAACAGACATGTGTGTTCTGTAAACAGACGTGTGTTCTGTAAACAGACATGTGTGTTCTGTAAACAGACGTGTGTGTTCTGTAAACAGACGTGTGTGTTCTGTAAACAGACGTGTATGTTCTGTAAACAGACGTGTGTTCTGTAAACAGATGTGTGTGTTCTGTAAACAGACGTGTGTGTTCTGTAAACAGACGTGTGTTCTGTAAACAGATGTGTGTGTTCTGTAAACAGATGGTGTTCTGTAAACAGACGTGTGTGTTCTGTAAACAGATGTGTGTGTTCTGTAAACAGATGGTGTTCTGTAAACAGACGTGTGTGTTCTGTAAACAGATGTGTGTGTTCTGTAAACAGATGGTGTTCTGTAAACAGATGTGTGTGTTCTGTAAACAGATGTGCGTGTTCTGTAAACAGATGGTGTTCTGTAAACAGATGTGTGTGTTCTGTAAACAGACGTGTGTTCTGTAAACAGACGTGTGTGTTCTGTAAACAGATGTGCGTGTTCTGTAAACAGATGGTGTTCTGTAAACAGATGGTGTTCTGTAAACAGACGTGTGTGTTCTGTAAACAGATGTGCGTGTTCTGTAAACAGATGTGTGTGTGTTCTGTGTGTGTTCTGTAAACAGACGTGTGTTCTGTAAACAGATGGTGTTCTGTAAACAGATGTGTGTGTTCTGTAAACAGACGTGTGTTCTGTAAACAGATGTGTATGTTCTGTAAACAGATGTGTGTGTTCTGTAAACAGATGTGCGTGTTCTGTAAACAGATGTGTGTGTGTTCTGTAAACAGACGTGTATGTTCTGTAAACAGACGTGTGTTCTGTAAACAAATGTGCGTGTTCTGTAAACAGACGTGTGTTCTGTAAACAGATGTGCGTGTTCTGTAAACAGATGTGTGTGTGTTCTGTGTGTGTTCTGTAAACAGACGTGTTTTCTGTAAACAGATGTGTGTGTTCTGTAAACAGACTTGTGTGCTGTAAACAGATGTGTGTGTGTTCTGTGTGTGTTCTGTAAACAGACGTGTGTTCTGTAAACAGATGTGTGTGTTCTGTAAACAGATGTGTGTGTTCTGACCCACGTCTCTCTGGGCCTGCTGCAGCTGGGCACTGAGGCTCTCCACTCGGAGCCGGCTGCTTTCCAGCTCGTCTTTAGTGGCTGACGCAATGTTGTTCTTCTCCAATGCAGCCTGCTGGGCATTCTGCAGCTGTAGCACAGGACGGAATTCTATATCAGAATATATACTATATAAGTCATTAAGGAGCTTTTGGAAACACATCATCCTAGCTTCTGTTTTTGAACCTTGGAAGTGAAGGTCCGGTGGAGCTCTTCTCTGTACTGCTGCAGCTGGGTCTCATGGTCCTGGCGGAGCTGCTGCATGGTGTCCGACAGTTTACCCTCAAACTCCCTCTGCCGGCCTGAGTCCACCTCCACCAGACGACTCTCATGGCAGCTTCGGATCTCTAGGATCTCCTGCAAAACATCCACTTAACAACTGAGCTGATACAAAAAATAAACATATTAAATCAGGAAAGACATGAATTGGTGGAATTTAATATTGCTAGCCTGCTTAGCAGCAGGTGTTTTACTTACCAGCTCGGTGATGTTCCTCTGGAGCTCCAGCTGTTCTTTGAGTGTCTGCATCTGGTTTTCTAGGTCCACTCTCCACAGGATCTCAGAGCTCAGCTGGTTCTTTGTCTCTGACAGAACCCCCTCTACCTGGTGAAAGCCCCCACCCCCAACAAACACAGTTAGAACATTTGGAAATATTAGCCTGATCTCTGTTAAAGTCATCGCTTTTAAAAGGTGTGATGCACATTTGTTTCCCGGAGTATAGTGCTTGAATGCATACATGTCAGAAGCATGGGTCATTCAAGTTTTAGAGGAAACAGCAGTGCTGCTGCTCGCCTGCCCCACCACCACCCCAGCTTACTATCCCCCGAGCCGTTATATTATCATCACTCAATTTTCTGTGTAAATCTGTGGAGTGATGAGGCCCGAGCCAAGATGCCAAACTCAAACTATATGCTGCTTCTAATAAACATATAAAGAAACACGGGAATTGTCTGACTGAACTTACAAAACTGACAATGAGTCTAAACCAACCAACAGTATCTTTATGGGAACAACCACCACCTCCAATATTTATAATGGAGGGATCATAGTTTACTATGTTAAAGGTAGGGTAGGTAAGTTTGAAAAACCGACTCGAGATACACTTTTTGTTATATTCCATGGAATGCTCTTAGATCCCGATAGCAATGAATATCTTAAGTGCTTTGACAAAAAATCCATAAAAAGATGTCATCTGTGGAAGCTGTAGTACTGTAAAAAGTACGACCAATCATTTTAGCCGGCCCGGCTAAAATAACTGGATGGCCTACCTGCCTGTCAGCCTTCCATCTGTGCACAAACTTATCTCGTGCCCTCATTGGTCATGTGCGTGTTCGTGTGTGTTGGAGGAGGGGCTCTGTAAGGAAGTGGCAGATTTTCTCCGGTTGTGTATTTTCAAATTCTAGCAATCTCGAGTCGGTTTCTCAAACTTACCTACCCTACCTTTAAGCAAGTTAAGTTAAGCATTTCTTTTGAAAATCCGATGACATGTCAGTCTGTGCCACAATTCTCACCCAAGGTTACAAAGCGTATTAAGACAATTGTTCAATCATAATTTAGATGATTTTAGTGAGAGAATACATATCCAACAGATTCTGATAAATGGGTAGTGTTTCCCCTACCATTGTCCTTTAAGGCGCAGCGCCCCGCCAACGGAGCCCTGCACCCCCCCTGAAATTCAATGTGTTTTTTTTGTTGTTTTTTATATATATATATATAGCACCAAATTGCAACTGAAGTAATCTATGTACGGTCACTTTTCACATTGAACATGTGCTCTTTTATTAAATAAACTTATGTTATTTATCCAATTGATGTGCATGTTTCAGTGTCTGACTTGTTTATTTCCTGCAGATTTGACTCGGATAACGACTGACTTTCATTTTAAGTTGTGAGTTTAGTGTGTTTGACCCTAAGAAACACTGATGCATTCATCAATAACAATAATCCACAGCTCCTGTCTCTGCTCCAGAGATATACCACTATGTTTGTTTGTTTCTTGTGTTTTTTTAGTTGTTTATTTTTAAACAGAGCCCAGCTAGCTATTTATTTTCTGATTTCAATCATTATGGAACGCTAGGCTAAGCACATCAGACATCTAGTATCATCCTTCGGGCATTTTATCATTTCGGATACCTTTTAGGGCAAATTAGCTGACCGATCAACATAATGTAACCTGGTCAGACAACAACATTTTCTAGAAAACAGACAAGCAGGTTATTTTGATTATACTACCAAGAGTAAAACCTTTTTTTTTTTTTATTATCCTAGTTGGGACTCAAACTTGGACATCATTACACCTGCAGTTAGCCCTGTACGTCAGTTAGCATCAGTTCCTACGTTTTCCAGCTGGCCCTGCAGATCAGCAAAGTCGTCGTGGAGTCTCCTGTTCTCAGACAGCAGATTCTTGTACTCTGCATCCTTGCAGCTTAAAGTTGCTTCAACTTTCCTCCACTGGGCCAACGCATTCGCCAGATCACTCTCCTTCTTCTGGTTCCTGAAGGTGGAGAACATGAGAACAAAGAAGGTTGATTACATTGGTCAACACAGCAACGACGACATGAAACCCCCTTTCATTTCTTGCCATGTACAAGACACTGCAATGACATGAATCCCCCTTAAGGGGGCCCCATGCTAGTAGCGCGCTGTCAAAAGCTTCATAATTTCAGCTCCGTAACTTCAGTTCCGTGTGTGTGTTGGACCATATAAAGTTTATATGATAAACAAAATATGTTCAACAAAACGTACCTTACAAATGGTTATAGCCTTAAAGTATTGTGCATCTGCTCTAATAGCAAAGTATACATTTCAAACCATATTCAGATTAAGGATCAATGTTCAGCTTAGTAAAGTGTAACGACATGTTTGGCCCCCAGCGGAGCACATTATAAAAGTACCCATCAAAATATAGTTAAAGTGGCAAAAGTAAAGTAGTCATTGTGCAGATTGGTCCATTTGAGAATAATATATATGATATGTTTTATAATGATTGATCATTAAAGTGTTCTCAAAGCTGGTAAAGGTGCAGCTAGTTTGAATGACTTTGTATACTGCAGGGTAGCTTGTGAATTTACTCCAGGTGGAACTAAAGTCTGATTTAACACTTGATTATATTTCACATCATTAATCCAGATCTGTAGTAACTAAAGTAACTAAAGGTATTAAATACATGTAGTGGAGTAAAGTACACAATTTACCTCTGAACTGTAGTGGGGGTAGAAGTATTAAGTAGCAAATAATGAAATACTCAAGTAAAGTACGTTACACCACTGCTTCCGAATCTTATTCTACAGAGGGACAGTCATGTAGAAATATGTTCATTTGTTTTCTACAGCTGCTTGCTTCCAACTCCAATCAGGACTGCATTACATCACTTCTGAGTGGAATCCTGAGCTGATACAGCTCCAGCACCTGAGTGCACCTACATTCTCACGCTTTACCTGGCTTGGATCTTTCTGTAATCCACGCAGAGATTTCCATAGTCGATCTGCAGACGGGCCCTCTCTCCGGCCAGGCCGTCCAGGGACTTCCGGACATCGGCCAGCTCCTCCTCGTACAGCCGCCGCACGTTGCCCATCTCTCGGCTTTTCGACTCATCCTTTTCCTCCAGCTGGAACAGTATTGAAGACCTCTCACTCTCCAGCTCTTGGACCCGGTGGATGTAGTTGGCGAGGCGATCGTTGAGGTGTCGCAGCTCCTCCTTCTCCTGGCCGCGCAGCAGGCGGGGTCGGGCTGGGGCTGGAGGCGGGCAGGCCGCGCTGCGTGCGCCCAGCACCGGCTGCGCTGTGGCGGCCGGCGGAGCGGCCGCTGGAGGCAGCTGCAGCGGGAGTGGCAGCAGCGGGGGTGGCAGCAGCGGGGGTGGAGGTGGCAGAGGCCATGATGCTGGAGGCTGGACAGTTCTGCAGTCAAAGTCGGACAACCAGTCGGACAGTTCAGCCTGACACTATGGGCGGCCGAAAGGTAACGTGAACACTCAGGGATGCGATGATATTTAGAATGAATACAAGTCACATTGAAACGCCGCTGTAAAATGCATCAATGGTGGCAGCACATGGAAACCTGCACATGTCCCCTTTTGTTAAATGAGCCTTCCCTGCGTTAACGTTGTTAAATTAATTATCATATATGACGAGTTGACACTGAGAACAAGTGAAGAGTGCCAAGTCATCCTAACCTTTTCCGGTTTGGATTTTCAAAATAATACGGTATTGTATTTATGAGGTACATTCTCATGAAGTATATCCGTGCTGTCGAATTTAGTGTTTTTTTAACTTGTTTTATGCGCGAAACATTAAATATTCTTCAATAAAATTACAGCAAATGAAATAAATTCCTTTCATAGGAAATGCCCTTTTCTCGAACGACTTTACTTGGAAGGCCAAACGGAACGGTTTCCGTTAGTTTCTAGCGTAACTCAGTGTGTATCTTGATTTAAGTGGGAATGCTGCAGGACATCAGCGGATAGATGATTGGCCAGAAGCCGGAGCTTATGTCACCTATCACAAGACTGCCTGTGCTTCCCGAACTTTTTTAATACAATATTCTCTGGCTTTAACATTCATAGTGGATGAATCAAATAAACGTTTTTGAATTATTCAATGAAGTATTGACAACATTTCGCCCAAATTCAAAATAAAAATATAATACACAATGTGTTTCCAAAGAGCACAGCTGCAGGTCACTCTCTGAACCTCTGCATGCACTCAGGTGAATGATGGAGGCTGACAGAAAGCAGAAACTGGTTTGATTAATATGTCAGCTTTAAAACTTTAGGGTTGTTCTGTATTTATAGTATTCTCAAAATTCTTAAAAATATCTGTCTACCAATGCTTTTTGACTTCACAGCACATCGGTTCCTTCTGAAAATAAAAACCTTAAAGCAGGGCCGTATCCAGGATTTCCTAAATACCGAGGTCCAAACATGTTCGGGGGGTATACCCCCCCGAGATTTTGGGGATTTTCATGATCTAGTTAGGTGCTTTTTAAGTCCTGTGGGGGGTCACAAATTGGATAATATATTGATTTCAAACCATGTCAGTGGGCTGCAGCATAAATTATTTTTGAAAGTGTAATGCATACGAATCAGTTGATTGATATTATTAATGATCTGGACATGCAGAAGAGGCTAAAATGATCACAAAACATTGTCAACATTCATTGTCCATGTCTCTCTCCTTTCCATAACCTGCAGCCTCTCTTCCATCTTCTTTAGTCTCTCCGTCTTCTTCCTGTTCATTACTCTCTCTTTCCTCTACTCTTTCTCTTTGTTCAATCTCTCCCTCGTTGTTCACTTTTAGCTCCTCCTCACTTGTCGCTCCTGCCAGTGAATTAAAAGCAATTCAGCAATTTAGTTCATTTCACTAGTTTGCATTATTTTTTTAATTTAAATCTGTTTTGTTTGATTCTCAAAAGAGAACAAAAATGTAAGCAAATTGTGTTTTATACAATTGTATGTTATTATGACATCATAACTGCAATAGATATATGTTGTTTTAAAATTATGCCTATTGTCTATATTGTAAATGAAGACTATTGTTATAGATAGATAGATAGATAGATAGATAGATAGATATATAGATAGATGGGGTTATTAAGCCTACATTATTTTGTGTGACTGTACCTGCAGTTCCTCCCTGACTTCCATCACTTTCTCTCTCTCTCTTTCTCTCTGCCTGTCCTGTCTCTTCCTTACCAAAGCTGAGCTTCGACTGACGTAGTCTTTTCATTATATCTGAGTCAGTGTAAAAAGAAGACAATACAATGTTATATCTTCAATGTTTTACTCAAATTGAAATGAAAGAAAACCATTAAAACGTTTGTTAAAAGGTAATCCTTCTGACATTGGATGAATGTAATTAACTTTAGCTCTCTAGCTAGTTTATTCACGCAATTTAAACCAAAGTATAGCCTATAGCTGCAATATAAGTTAGTGTGCATGTTGTCGGACGTCCACTGACTAACGTAGAGCGTTCACACAGGATCTGCTGGTCATATGATGTCCTGATGAACAGAAACACAAGCAGCCCGCTGGACTCAGATCTCTAGATACCTCATCACTCCTCCGCTGCTCCGATACAAGTCCGGGCTGCGGTGGTTTGTTGATACATGTCGTCTTCTTCTGTTTGCTTTAATCGAGGCTACGTAGTTATGCAGCGCCCCCATCGGCAGTAAATGGAAGTACTACAAAGAACCCCGTTTAGTGCAATTATTTCACAAGTTTTGTTATATGCACAGCTCGGAGAAAATTACCGAGGTCCGGACCTCAGTGACCACAATGGTGGATACGGCCTTGCCTTAAAGGTCCCATGTCATGGCCATTTCTACTGATCATAATTCAATTGTTGAGGTCTACTAGAATATATTTATATTGTGCAATTTTCCAAACTCACATTGGTTTCTCATACAGCATCTCTGTAAACTACGTGTATTCACTCTCTGTCCTACACGGCTTGTTGGAGATCCTGCCCCCCCCTCCCTATGAGCCCAGTGGCCGTCTGCGAGACAGCGAGACATTGCGAAACCCAGCCCGAAACCAGCCCGAACACACACACACCCGCAGCCTGGCTGGGAGTTTGTGTGTGTGCTCACACACAAACTCCCAGCCTCGCCGTGTCCCACCGTCTCAGGCGGAGAAATCGGCGGAGCTGCAGCTGAGAAAAGATTGAGTGTGTGTGTGTGAGGAAGTCCGCGGATTGGGACCAATCCGCGGAGCCGTTACGTTAAGTTACATTACGTCACTATATCCAAATACGTCATTGTACCCAGGAAGAAAAAGAAAATCTTCAACGAGGCGTTCTGGGGCAGCATAGACAGGTCTTTTCTGTGTTAGAGTTTTACTCCCTACAGGGTGTACTTCAATTCAATTCAATTCAAAACCTTTATTTATCCAGGTGAAATCCCATTGAGATTATTGATCTCTTTTTCAAGGGAGACCTGCAGCAGTAGGTTCCACATGAAGACATAAAAACATAAACAACAGAACTACAAAAGGACACCATACAGCAACAATTACAGGGATTACAATTTACATATCTATCCACATACCAACAGCATCTGATTGTGTAGCATCCAACCAAGCTTTAAAAACATGTAGTGGTACCAGATTGGTAATTTTCCATTCTTTTTGCAGACTGTAGAAGCCTGCAGAAGCTCATCACACACACACACACACACACACACACACACACACACACACACACACACACACACACACACACACAGACACACACACACACACACACACACACACACACACACACAGACACACACACACACACACACACACAGACACACACACACACACACACACACACAGACACACACACACACACACACACACACACACACACACACTCACACTCACACTCACACTCACACTCACACACACACCACCAGTGATAAGGACATGCAGCGTATTGCACAACTGAGACACTCTCTAAGGACACACTCACATTTCTTATGGAGGCAGGAAGTGTTTCAAAGGATTGAGTTTACTGTTCACAGGACTCTGACACGTACATACAATCATCATATAGGCTTCAACATGTCATGCTATATACAGGTTAAGAATACCAGTTAAATATGCTGCATCATTCTATATTTACACGCTTTGCACATATGTATCTACAGGGGGGGGGTGCTGTACCTTCTAGAGCCCCCTGAGAGTGTTCCTGTTTCTCTGAGTTCACTTTAACCCTTGGATGGCGTTCATATCGTTGTTATTCAGCCGGTGTTCGGGGGTCTGGAGTCCCTCTGAGCTACTGGGTTTGTAAATGAACACAACCAAACAATTGGATGTAAACACATCACATCACAAACAGAAGAGAGCGGGAAGTGACGATCAGATATCAATACCATATACATACCATCAGATATCAATACCATATACATACCATCAGATATCAATACCATATACATACCATCAGATATCAATACCATATACATACCATAAGATATGTTTCCAGAGGGACTCCACCTCTCGCTTTACGCTGATATAATGCGAGGAGAAAACATGAGATGCTCAGAATAAAGAGAGCGTGAGAGACAGAAGAGAGACATGGATCACCTGCTGCTGCTGCTGATGCTACTGCTCTGTAGCTCAGGTAATAATCCACTTTATTATTTATTATATTCAAATATCTTTGTGATCTGTCAAGAAAAAACTACTCGTAAACACTGACAGCAAGATACACACACACACACACACACACACACACACACACACACACACACACACACACACACACACACACACACACACACACACACACACACACACACACACACACACACACAGGCCCGGCACCATCACAGACATGGTGCACTTTAATGCTACGATGTGTGTGATCTTAGATAGTAATTCAAATGTATTAAATATATCCTACGTCAAATACTCTACATGTGTTGAATAGACTTTTGTGATTTGTGATTGGCCCACATTCAGACCAATCAGGAATTGAGCAGCACTAAACTTGTAGAAGCCGAGTATGTTGTGTTCAAACTGTTTCTTTGCACACAATTGAAGGCTTTATACGCCCCGAGGTGATGGGAAATGGACCATTAATACACTCCTCACCACCTTCCACAAGACCCTGGTAGCCATGCCAAGTGTCATGGGGGCATTTAAGTCTGCCTTAACTTCCGGGGTCTCCACTGCAGAATGTGGGACCCTGAAAAGCATCACGCAGCAGGGAGATGGTTTGCAGGTGGAATAAACATCTTGGTGCTTACTCTGTATTCTGTGTTTGCTGCTCGGTCAGCGGTTGCCCAAGTTTAAGGCCCAAGTAAAGATGTTTAGTTATTGTGAATGTGTGCCTTGCTCCTGAGTGCTGTGTTCCCAGTGATCGTGCTGCCGTGCACACAGTGTTTCAAACGTGGTTTCTATGCTGCTCTTTATTTCTGTGTCTCTACGCAGTGATGAATAAATATAAGTAAATACATATTTTATTGTGATGTGTGTGTGTGTGTGTGTGTGTGTGTGTGTGTGTGTGTGTGTGTGTGTGTGTGTGTGTGTGTGTGTGTGTGTGTGTGTGTGTGTGTGGTGTGGTTGTGATGTGCTTGATGTGTGTGTGTGTGTGTGTGTGTGTGTGTGTGTGTGTGTGTGTGTGTGTGTGTGTGGTGTGTGTGTGTGTGTGTGTGTGTCTGTGTGTGTGTGTGTGTGTGTGTGTGGTGTGGTTGTGATGTGCTTGATGTGTGTGTGTGGTGTGGTTGTGATGTGCTTGATGTGTGTGTGTGGTGTGGTTGTGATGTGCTTAAGTACATGTTGTTTTTTTAAATGTTTGTAACTTTGATAAGATCAAATGAAGACACGTCATAAAGACACAAAACAGGGGTCGTGGTGTATATGATGAGAGTGCAGATTGATCTCGTGTCCTCTCCATGTGAACCTGATGTGTTTCTTTACATTGAAGCTAAAGCATCAATCTGGTGCACTTTGAGGGCCACATGAAGAGATGTATGGATACAGCTCTCAACACTCAGATGAAACAGAACTGTATATATTTCAATCATTCACATTTGGGGGAAGAAATCTGTTTCCATATTGCCAATTTTCACAGCACATTTATTATTTGTATACATTGTTTTAATGATATCATATGTTTCCCCCCTACACCGTTTTCAATCAACTTCAGGAACAGACCGTTATGCCAAATTGAGTCGAATGCTTTTTTGAAATCTACAAAACAAGAGAAAATCTTCTTATTTTGGTGGACATGTTTATGAATGAGGGTGTGGAGGGTATATATATGGTCTGTAGTCCGATGGTGTAAATCCAATCTGACTCTTGCTCAGGACATTATGTTCACTGAGGAAGTCTTGCAGTCGGCTGTTTAGGATGGTGCAGAATAACTTCCCCAGGTTGCTGCTGACACATATGCCTCGGTAATTGTTTGGGTCAAATTTATTTCCATTTTTAAATATTGGTGTGATGATTCCTTTGCTCCAGATGTCAGGGAAATGTCCAATGCTCAGAACCAGGTTGAATAGTTTCAACATGGCAGTGTTGAACTTATGGCTGCTAAATGTCAGCATTTCATTTAAAATGCCATCAGGACCGCTGGCCTTCCTTGGTTGAAGGGCCTGGGTTTTAGCCAGGAGCTCTTCCTCAGTAATGTCATAGTCTAAAGGGTTCTGGTTGTCTTTAACGACTGATTCTAGAATGTGTAGTTTGAGATCATTTTGGGCCGAATTCAGTGTAACGCTACTATACAGGTTTTCAAAGTGTGTTTTCCAAATGTCCCCATTTTGAATAGCCAGTTCTTCCTTGTGTGGTTTGCTGAAAGAGTGCCATCTCTTCCAGAAATGATTTGAGTCAATGGACTCTTCAATGATTTCAAGTTGGTGCTGCGCATGTTGCTCCCTTTTAGTTCTGAGTGTTCTTCTGTATAGTTTCAGTGTTTCCCAATATTGGAGGCGAAGCTCAGGATTGTCAGGTTGTCTGTGTTTTTGATTTGATAAACTTCTGAGGGTTTTTCTCAGATGTCTGCAGTCTGTATCAAATCACTTTTCATTGGCTGACTTTTTAGATTTATGATATTGTGGTTTTTTCAGATTGGATAAATCTGCCACATTGTCAAAGATGCTGTTAATGTCCCATACAGCCTGATTCAGGCCATCATTACTGTGGGGATATGGGGTGGATAGAAAATAGTCTAATTGGGATTGAATTGTTTGATGTCTGATTGCTTTCTGGTAGTCGTCCTTGCTATTGTTTGTCCATCTATAAGGTTGTTTTGTATAGTTCAGTTTACTGGGTTCTGCTGCGTGAGGGTCTGTTACTGTCTTTTTAATGTAGAGTGTAATTTGACTATGATCAGATAAGGGTGTTAGGGGGCTGACTGTGAATGCCCTCAGACAGAAGGGGTCGAGGTCTGTGATGCTATAATCTACTGAACTATTGCCAAGAAGAGAGCTGTGTGTGTAGTGACCAAAGGAGTCCCCTCGAAGCCGACCGTTAACAATGTACAGACCCTGCGTTCGGCACAGCTGCAGTAGTTGCTGCCCGCTTTTGTTGACAGTTTTGTCAAAGTTGTTCCTGTGGGGACTCTCTCTCTCTCTGTCTCTCTCTGTCTCTCTCTCTCTCTCTCTCTCTCTCTGTCTGTCTCTCTCTGTCTCTCTATGTCTCTCTCTCTCTGTCC